TATTTTTGGACTCTATTCTCATGCATTAATCTATTTATTTATCTTTATAATATCTTTTTTAATAGTAAAAAGAGTTAACATGAACCTACCATTTGACAGCCCTATGTAAGAAAATGTGCATTTACTACTAATTTAATTTCCACAACAATCTTATGAGGTAGACAGTCCATCTTGCTTTTCAGATGAAGAAGCAGAGGCTCAGGGAGGTGAAGTCATCTGTGGCCACACAGTCACTGAATGACTGTCTAATTTCAAAACCCATGCTATTAACCACTTATGACATACAGAATAATGTCCCCTTAATATGTTCATGTCCTAATTCCTGAAAGTTGATATGGTTTCACTGTGTCCCCACCCAGATCATCTTGAATTGTAGCTCCAATAATTCCCATGTGTAGTGGAAAGGGCCCAAAGGGAGGTAACTGAATCATGGGGGTGGGTCTTTCCCATGCTGTTCTCATGATAGTGAATAAGTCTCACGAGACCTGATGGTTTTATAAAGGGAAGCTCCCCTGCACATGCTCTCTTGCCTGCTGCCATGTAAAACATGACTTTGCTCCTTACACCATGACTGTGAGTCAATTAAACCTCTTTTTTAAAATAAGTTACCCAGTGTCAGGTATAGCTTTATTAGCAGCATGAGAACAGATTAAATATACTTCTGTATTGTTACCTTACATAAGAAAAGAGACTTGCAGATAAAATTAAGGATCTTTACTTTTTGTTGTTTTTGTTTCTATGTTCTTTTTATTTTTTTATTTTTTCCATTTTTTAAAACATTTATCCCAGATACTGAAGGTTAAGAATTTTGAGGTGGGGAGTTGGCTGGGCCTTTGAGGTTGGCCCAGTATAATACCAAGGAGCCTTTTAAGTGGGCAACAGGAGGATCAAAATCAAGGAAGGAGATGAGCCAAGGGAAAGAGAGGTCATAGAGAATCATTCAAAGATGCTGTGCTGCTGGCTTTGAAAAGGAAAGAAGGGACCAGGAGTCAAATACAGTGGCCTCTAAAGGCTAAAAAAAGCAAGGAAACAGATTCACCCTCAGGGCCTCCAGAGATAATCAGCAGTGCTGACACCTTGACATTAGCCCAGTGAAAGTAATTTCAGACTCCTGATTTCTAGAACTGTTAAAGAACACATTTGTATTGTTTAAGCCACTAAGTTTGTGGCAATTTGTTACAGCAGCAATAGGCAACTCATATACCACTAACTCATATTTTAATTTGGGTAAATTATTTAACATTTGGGAGTCACATTCATGTCTGTAATGGCCACAGTAATGTCTACTTTATAGAGCTAGGGTAATGAGAAGAGTGGGCCTGGCACAGAGTCATTGCTCCAGAAATATTAGCTATATTTTTCTTCTTCAGAAACCTCTAGGCATTTCCCCGTTAGGCCCTTAGTACTGACAGTGTTTTTTTGTTTTTGTTTTGTTTTGTTTTGTTTGAGACAGAATCTTGCTCTATCACCTAGGTTGGAGTACAGTGGCATGATCTCAGATCACTGCAGCCTCTGCCTCCTAGGTTCAAGCAATTCTCCCGCCTCAGCATCCCAAGTAGCTGGGATTACAGGTGCCCACCACCATGCCCACCTAATTTTTTGTATCTTTAGTAGAGATGGGGTTGCACTGTGTTGACCAGGCTGGTCTTGAACTCCTGACCGTGTAATCTGCCCACCTCAGCCTCCCAAAGTGCTGGGATTACAGGTGTGAGCCACCATGCCCAACTAGGACCGACAGCTTTTAAATTAGCCTATGGATACCTTGGTTCCTTGGTAGGAAAAGGGATCTCAGTTCTTGGAACATGACAGCCACTAGCCCTAAGTAACAGTTGGCAAGGTGAGAGCCCCACTGCAAGGAAGTCAGAGGGGTCCTAATGCTACCTGAGGTTGGTAGAGAGAGGCTCGAGTAGAAGGGGATGCTAACTCAAAACTACACTTGTCTCACCATAATGTTCTGAGGTTGGTTTTCTCTTTCCCTTAAACAAACATATTCCTATTTTTCAGTTCATTTACTGTCAACAAATACATCTCAAACCATGCCCCTTTATCAGGTTCACAGATTTTCTTACCAGTCAATTCATTTAGTCAAAAAATATTTACTGAGCACCCATTATATGAAAAGCCTGGTGCTAGTGCTAGGGTATCCAATCTGGACAGAAAGACAGATATTAAATAATGAAGTACACTCATAGATGGAAACTGTGGGCTGGGCATGGTAGCTCACATCTGTAATTCCAGCACTTTGGAAGCAACAGGAGGACCCCAGGAGCTCAAGAACAGCTGGGCAACATAACAAGACCCCATCTCTACAAAAAAAAAAAAAAAAAAAAAAAAAACAAGAAAAAATAAATGAATACAAATTGTGATAAGTGCTATTTGGGAGAAAACAGAATGAGCGATGGAACTAAGAAGGGTAGCTTTGGTGGTTTACTCAGACAGGAACAAGAGGAAACACAACTCCTTCACTCATTCATTTATTCATTAATGAGTTATAGCGCTGTTTGCCATGAGTTGGCCATGAGTTCAGTGTTAGGGAATCAACAATATACATTAAATAAGGAGTCTTTAAACAGAAATACATAAAACAAGGTTATGTATTGATTAGTTAATGAAAATATGACCAGAGGCTCACAGGAACCTAACTCTGTGTTTCCCCAGGAGCAACAGTTCAGTATTGGCTAATTCAGTATTCAAAGGAACTGTACAGAACTTCCATGAATGAGAATTGATTGTACTTTAACTTCAGAATTTTAAGTGCTATGAAAGCAACTGAACGGTAATAGGCGACAGAGAGGTCAAGGAAGGTCTCTTGAGGAAGTGAGATCATAGTTTAGATCTCAGTGATAAGAAAGTTGCATAAAGGGAAGGTCTATCAGGAACAGCAAAAGCAACAGCCCTGAGGCTGGAATAAATTTGGAACATTCTGTGCTAAGCAAGGCTGGTGGGCTGTAGGTTGCTGAAGATGAGGAGGAAACAAGGTCAGGACCACTTGAGCACAGGAGCCAGTACCACTTGAGCACAGGAGCCAGTACCACTTGAGCACAGGAGCCAGGACAACTGTAAGGTGTGCCCAATGGCAAAGAAAGACCACAGGGGAGTTTGAGCAAGAAAGAGGAGTTTAAGCATTGTCAGACTGCTTAATGGATTGAAGAATGAGCCAAATGGACTGAAGGAGGCTGAGTGGAAGCAGTGATATCAACTAGGAGCCTTAGGAACTAACTGAAGTGAGGAGTGCCGAGATTGGGACTAAGGTTGCAGGTGAGAAGATAATGCGAAGCAGATGGGTTTGAGATAGATTTTAAAAGAGGTGGAATTCCCACAAGTTGGGGTGGTTTGGGAGGGGCAGGGAGGTGTGGAGGGAGACAGAGAAAGATATCAAAGATGACTCCCAGGTTTCACTAACTTAATAAATATTTATAGGGCAGCGTATCTTGCCACAGGCACTGTGCTGGGTGCTGATAACAGACATTCTCCCACTTTCTTCCTGCTGACATTCTCCCACTTTCTTCCTGCCTCCACACTCCACACCTCTGCCCCCAACCCCTCCACTACCACCCTGGTCCAGGCCATCACCATGTGTCCCTTGGATTGTTGCAATAACTTCCTAACTATTCTCCCCGCTTCAGTCCTTGCTCCTGCAATTTGCTACACAGTAGTCAGGACAACCTGACCCTTTAAAAACATGTCAGAGGGAGTCACTCTTTTCTTAAATACTGCCAATATTTCCCCTTCCTATTTGGTTAAGAAATAAAATCTTTACAGTGGCTTGTGGGGCTTTTAGGTCTTCTTCCTTGCCCCCATCATTGTCTCCTTTCTGTTTCTTAAAGTCAAGTGTGTCATATAAGTCAACTCTGAGAGGATCCCCCTCCATCCCACCAAAAGAAGTTTTGTTAAACTAAGATTATTTAGCCTTTACATGGAGGAATAACATTAGGTTAGTTGTCTAGGTTCTAGTTATTTGTTTAAAAACCAGCCTTTTTCCTTGAAATGGTGGCATCTTAGTGTGAAGTACAGATAAATATTACTGTACTTTTGACTTTTAAAAAAAATTTGAAAAATACTATTCTGATAAACGTCATAAGTTGCAGGCTTATAATGAGAGGGGAGATCCCCTTGCCTCCTTCCGCTTCCTGGTCTCCACCTCCTCCCTCCCCTCCCCGCTGGATATGAAGCAGGGTGAAAAAGAAATAAAATACCAAAGAGCTTGAATCTGTGGTCAGGCAACTTGCTGATGCCACTGACCAGGCCATAAAGAAGCCCAAGACCTGGGAAGATGACTTCCTTTTTAGTTCCCAGCATCTCTGCTATCTATAAGCCTTGAAAGAATTGCAAATGATGTTATCACTACCAGCTGGAGCCTAGCACTGGGTCAGGTCCCCCATGTTTGCACAACCCAGGCTCCCTCCTGGAAATACCTCTGCCAACTAATAATTTACTGCCTTTATCTTGTCTGTAAGTACCTACCCTCCCCTGCCTGCTCCCACTTGTACTGCATATGAACTAGCACATCAATGAAGCCAAAAGATTGTAAGGTCAGATGTCTAGCCAATGGACAATGACACCGTTTTGCCTCAGTATCCCCTTCAGTGTTGTAAGCCTATAAAAGGGGAAAGAAGCTACTTCTCAGGGAGCTTGGTAAATAAGGCTTTAGCCCCTGCAGCTCCCAGCCAAATAAAAAGCCATTTCCTTCCTCAGTCTGGTGTTCGAGAGGTTTCCCACCACTCCTGCTTTAATAATACTTAATGATTATAAAAGGTCTTTTAATAATCATAAAATGAATTTTTAACAGACTGCTTGATCCAAGTCTGTTTCTCAGTTTGAAATTCTCTTAATTTTTTTCTTCAAAAAAATTTTCATTTTATATTCTAAATGGAATGGTATCATTTTAGTCTGTGTACATTTTGATTGATCACTTCAGTTTGTAGTATTCCTGCTTGCTTACTGCATATGAAAATATTATAAAACTGAGGACACAAGTTCTAAATTGTATTTACACTTACCCATGCTCTCCATATTTACTGGTTCCATGTCTTCACTAGCTAGAATACAATAAAAGAAAGTCAAATTTTTGAATCAAACGTATGTTCGTTTATTATAATCTTTACCACACCTCAAAACATAAAATATAAGTGCAAATATACAATAAGAACTTAAACTATCTTGTGAATTATTAAATAGAGAAAATTGGAATAATTGTCTTTTACATAGTTATCTCTTAGTGATATGTTTGCTATGGCATTCATTATATGGCATTTAATTGATATCATAATGAAATTAGTCAAAAGTAAGAATAAATCTCCATATATCATATTCCTCATGCATTTGACTTTATGACACAAAATATTTTATTTCACTTGATATGTAAAACCATAATCATTTGGCTGCTAATATATGTACAAATATTAACTCCACACACACCAAAAAAATGCATTAAATGAATAAATAATCCTACCAGCTAATATTGGTTTTGGGCTTTTTTTGCCACGTGATGACTTTTTCTTTTGTTTTTGTTTTGGAGCCATGGTTCTGACTTGGGCTGCATAAAGAGATGATATTATTAGTAAATTATTGCAATTTGCAAATAACTTGAAATTTCAAATACTAAACATGATAATTTAATAAACTTAAGAATATATTTTCTAAGTTTTACCCTGGACTAAACCAACCTGTCTCTTCATAGAACGGGTGTTCTGTGACAAAGGTTTATTGCAACAATAATCTTACCGATGAGATCTTACTGTTCTGTTGGAGCCATTCAGCTGAAGCACACTGTAGTGACCAGAACAAAATATCAGCCACAGGCCCTGCCATGGAAGCCCAACAGAGGACTTGCCTTTCCCACCTCTCATTGACATTCCCATCCCAGGTAGCTGCTCTGTGCTGCCTTTTGCTGGGCTTCCCAACAGGTAGCTCACCACTGGGAGTCACAGGCCTACAATGTGCATATACATATATGATTTTTAAATTAACATAATTGAGATCATACTTTTGTCTTAGCATGTAAACATGTAACAACTAAGGCCTTATTTGGGCTATCAGAGAGAATGCCTCCAAAAGTTTTCCATGGAATTGCTCATCAATTTATATATAAATACATATATATATATATATTTTTCTATTTTATTGCACTTTAGGTTCTTGGGTACAGAACCTAAAGAAGAACATGCAGGACTGTTGCATAAATACATACATGGCAATGTGGTTTGCTACCTCCATCCCCATCACCTATATCTGGCATTTCTCCCCATGTTATCCCTCCCCAACTCCCCACCCCCAACTGTCCCACCCCAATCCCCCCTAACAGACCCCAGTATGTGATGCTCCCTTCCCTGTGTCCATGTGTTCCCACTGTTCAACACTCGCCTATGAGTGAGAACATGCAGTGTCTGATTTTCTGTTCTTGTCTCAGTTTGCTGAGAATGATGGTTTCCAGGTTCATCCATGTCCCTATAAAGTACATGGACTCATCGTTTTTTAGGGCTGCATAGTACTCCATGGTGCACATGTGCCACATTTTCCCTGTGCAATCTATAATTGATGGGCATTTGGGTTGGTTCCAGGTCTTTGCTATTGTAAACAGTGCTGCAATGAACATAAGTGTGCATGTGTCTTTATAACAGAATGATTTATAATCCTTTGGGTTTATATCCCCTGACCCAGTAACGGGATTGCTGGGTCAAATGGAATTTCTATTTTTAGGTCCTTGAATCACCACACTGTCTTCCACAATCATTGAACTAATTTACATTCCCACCAACAGTGTAAAAGTGTTCCTATTTCTCCACATCCTCTTCAGCATCTGTTGTCTCCAGATTTTTTAGTGATCGCCATTCAAACTGGAGATGGTATCTCAATGTGGTTTTGATTTGCATTTCTCTAATGACCAGTGATGATGAGCATTTTTTCATGTTTGTTGGCCTCATATATGTCTTCTTTTGAAAACTGTCTGTTCATATCCTTTGCCCACTTTTGAATAGGTTTGTTTCTCTTTTTCTTTTAAATCTATTTTAGTTCTTTGTAGATTCTGGATATAAGTCCTTTGTCAGATGGGTAGATTGCAAAAATTTTTTCCTATTCTGTTGGTTGCCAGTTCACTAAATGATTGTTTCTTTTGCTGTGCAGAAGTTCTGGAGTTTAATTAGATCCCATATGTCTATTTTGGCTTTTGTTGCCAATGCCTTTGGTGTTTTAGTCATGAAGTCCTTGCCTGTGCCCATGTCCTGAACAGTTTTGCCTAGGTTTTCTTATAAGGTTTTTATGGTGTTAGGTTTTATGTTTAAGTCTTTAATCCATCTGAAGTTAATTTTAGTGTAAGGTGTCAGGAAGGGGTCCAGTTTCTGCTTTCTGCACATGGCTAGCCAGTTTTCCCAATATCATTTATTAAACACGAATCCTTTGCCCATTGCTTGTTTTTGTCAGGTTTATCAAAGATCAGATGGTTGCAGATGTGTGGCATTGCCTCCAAGGCCTGTGTTCTGTTCCATTGGTCTATATCTCTGTTTTGGTACCAGTACCATGCTGTTTTGATTACTGTAGCCTTGTAGTATAGTTTGAAGTCAGGTAGCGTGATGCCTACAGCTTTGTTCTTTTTGCTTAGAATTGACTTGGTTGGCTATGCAGGCTCTCTTTTGGTTCCACATGAAGTTTAAGGTGGTTTTTTCCAGTTCTGTGAAGAGGGTCATAGGTAGCTTGACAGGGATAGCATTGAATCTATAAATTACTTTGGGCAGTATGGCCATTTTCACAATATGGATTCTTCCTAAACATGAGCAAGGAATGTTTCTCCATCTGTTTGTGTCCTCTCTTATTTCCTTGAGCAGTGGTTTGTAGTTCTCCTTGAAGAGGTCCTTTACATCCTTAGTTATTTGTATTCCTAGGTATTTTATTCTCTTTGTAGCAATTGTGAATGGCAGTTCGTTCTTGATTTGGCTCTCTTTAAGTCTGTTATTGGTGTACAGGAATGCTTGTAATTTTTACACAGTTTGAATGGGCTTGTTTTTTTTCTTGTAAATCTGTTTTAGTTCTTTGTGGATTCTGGATATTAGCCCTTTGTCAGATGGGTAGATTGCAAAAATTTTTTCCCATTCTGTTGGTTGCCAATTCACTCTAATGTCTGTTTCTTTTGCTGTGCAGAAGCTGTGGAGTTTGATTAGGTCCGATTTGTCTATTTTTGCTTTTGTTGCCAATGCTTTTAGTGTTTTGGTCATGAAGTCCTTGCATATGCCTATGTCCTGAATGGTTTTGCCTAGATTTTCTTCTAGGGTTTTTATGAATATCCTTTTTAATTTTCTGTCTCGTTGATCTGTCTAATATTGACAGTGGAGTGTTAAAGTCTCCCACTATTATTGTGTGGGAGTCTAAGTCTCTTTGTAGGTCATTAAGAACTTGCTTTATGTATCTGGGTGCTCCAGTATTGGGTGCATATATATTTAGGATCGTTAGTTCTTCCTGTTGCATTGATCCTTTTACCATTATGTAATGCCCTTCTTTGTCTCTTTCGATCCTTGTTGGTTTAAAGTCTATTTTACCAGAGACTAGGATTGCAACTCCTGCTATTTTTTGCTCTCCATTTGCTTGGTAAATCTTCCTCCAACCCTTTATTTTGAGCCTATGTGTATCCTTGCATGTGAGATGGGTTTCCTGGATACAGCACACCCATGAGTTTTCACTTTTTATCCAATTTGCCAGTCTGTGTCTTTTGATTGGGGCATTTAGCCCATTTACACTTAAGGTTATTACTGTTATGTGTGAATTTGATCCTGACATTTGATGCTAGCTGGATGTTTTGCTCATTATTGACACAGTTTCTTCATTGTGTCGATGCTGTTTACCATTTGGTATGGTTTTGGAGCAGCTGGTACTGGTTGTTACTTTCTATGTTTAGGGCTTCTTTCAGGAGCTCTAGTAAAGCAGGCCTGGTGGTGATGAAATCACTAAGCAATTGCTTGTTCGTAAAGGACTTTATTTCTCCTTTGCTTATGAAGTTTAGTTTGGCTGGATATGAAATTCTAGGTTGAACATTCTTTTCTTTATGGATGTTGAATATTGGCCCCCAACCTCTTCTGGCTTCTTGGGTTTCTGCTGAGAGATCCACTGTGAGTCTGATGGGCTTCCCTTTGTGGGTAACCTGACCTTTCTCTCTGGCTTCCCTTAGCATTTTTTCCTTCATTTCAACCCAGGTAAACCTGGCAATTATGAGCCTTGGGGTTGCTCTTCTTGTGGAATATCTTTGCGGTGTTCTCTGTATTTCCTGCACTTGAATATTGGCCTACCTTACTAGGTTGGGGAACTTCTCCTGGGATAATATCCTAGAGAGTGTTTCCCAGCTTGATTCATTCTCTCCGTCACATTCAGGTATACCTATCAAACGTAGATTAGGTCTTTTCACATAATCCCACATATCTTGGAGGCTTTGTTTGTTTCTTTTTACTTTTTCTCTAATCTTGCCTTCTTGTTTTATTTCATTGAGTTAATCTTCAATCTCTGATATACATTCTTCTGCTTGGTTGATTCGGCTACTGAAACTTGTGTCTGCTTTGTGAAGTTCTTCTGTTGTTTTTCAGCTCCATCAGTTCATTTGTATTCTTCTCTAAGCTGTTTATTTTTCTTTTTTTTTTTTTTTTTTTTTTTTTTTTGAGACGGAGTTTCGCTCTTGTTACCCAGGCTGGAGTGCAATGGTGCAATCTCGGCTCACCACAACCTCCGCCTCCTGGGTTCAGGCAATTCTCCTGCCTCAGCCTCCCGAGTAGCTGGGATTACGGGCACGTGCCACCATGCCCAGCTAATTTTTTGTATTTTTAGTAGAGACGGGGTTTCACCATGTTGACCAGGATGGTCTCTATCTGTTGACCTCGTGATCCACCCGCCTCGGCCTCCCAAAGTGCTGGGATTACAGGCTTGAGCCACCACGCCCGGCCAAGCTGTTTATTTTCATTAGCATTTCGTCAAACCTTTTTTCAAGGTTCTTAGTTTCTGTTTTGCATTGGGTTAAATGCTCATCAATTCTGATAGGATAGAACACTGGCTAAGGTCATCACCATGACATCAAATCCTTGTCATCTCTTCCATGCTCACCTTTGTCCCATTCTGTTTAAATGGTTAGGACTGTGACTGCAGGAGCCTGGGCAGCAGAGTTTTTAAACAAGCTGTATTTTTTCCAGCTGAGTGACCTTAGGCAAATTATTTATTTTCTCTGAGTTCAGTTTATTCATCTATTTAATGGGGATAATAATAAAATCTACCCCACAAGGTGGTTGTGAAGACTTAATGAAATAAAGTATCATCATCAACTCAATCATCTCAGTCTGGTTTGCATCATTTTAACAAATCAACACAGACTACTATTTCATAGCCTATGGTCAAAATATCACAAGTTTTATTTTATATCTAGATGCTCAATTACAAAAATCTTATCCAAAGTGTGGATGTGAGTGTGTCTGTGTTTGTGTGTAAACATCTTCCCTTCAGATTTTCTCTTATTTTTTTTCAAATAATAAAAATGACAGCTCACATTTGTGAAGTGCTTACTATGTGCCAGGCACAGTTCCAAGTATTTTACATGTATTTTTAATTTAGTCTTAACCACATTTATTGACATATAAATAAAATGACTTGAATTATCCATCATCTGAAACATTTATCTTTGTGTTGGGAACATTACAATTCTTCTAGTGATTTTGAAATATGCAATGAATTATTGTTAACTTAATTTTCCTGCTACACCATTGAATACTAGATAACCACATTTTATTATTACTATTATCTTAATC